CAAGATATGGAAGCAACCTAAGTGTCCATCAGTAGATGAATGTATAAAGAAGATGTGGTACATATACACAATGGAATATTACACAGCCATAAGAAAAAAACAGATCCTACCATTCGCAACAACATGGATGGAGCTAGAGGGTATTATGCTCAGTGAAATAAGCCAAGCGGAGAAGGACAAGTACCAAATGATTTCACTCATACGTGGAGTATAAGAACAAAGGAAAACTGAAGGAACAAAACAGCAACAGAATCACAGAACCCAAGAATGGACAAATAGTTACCAAAGGGAAAGGGACTGGGGAGGATGGGTGGGAAGGGAGGGATAAGGGCAGGGAAAAAGAAAGGGGGCATTATAATTAGCATGTATAATGTGGGGGGGGCATGAGGAGGGCTGTACAACACAGAGAAGACAAGTAGTGATTCTACAGCATCTTACTATGCTGATGGACAGTGACTGTAATAGGGATTGTGGGGGGGACTTGGTGAAGGGGAGAGCCTAGTAAACATAATGTTCTGCATGTAATTGTAGATTGATAACAAAATAAAAATTTAATTTAATTTAAAAAGGACATATGCACCCCTATGTTTATCGCAGCACTTTTTACAATAGCCACGATATGGAAGCAACCTAAGTGTCCATCAGTAGATGAATGGATAAAGATATAGTACATATATACAATGGAATACTATTCAGCCATAAGAAAGAAACAAATCCTACCATTTGCAACAACATGGATGGAGCTGGAGAACATTATACTCAGTGAAAGAAGCCAAGGAGAGAAAGACAAATGCCAAATGATTTCCCTCATTTGTGGAGTATAACAATGAAGCAAAACCGAAGGAACAAAATGGCAGCAGACTCAGAGACTCCAAGAAGGAACTAGTGGTTACCAAAGGGGAGGGGTGTGGGAGGGCAGGTGGGGACTGGGGGAAAAGGGGACTGAGGGGTATTATGTTTAGGACACATGGTGTTGGGGATCACGGGGAGAACAGTGTATTGCAGAGAAGGAACATAGTGGATCTCTGGCATCTTGCTGCACTGATGGACAGTGACTGCATTGAGGTATGGGTGGGGACTTGGTAATATGGGTAAATGTAGTAACCATATTGTTTCTTCATGTGAAACATTCATAAGAGTGTATATCAATCATACCTTAATAAAAAATTTTTAAAAATTCTGAGTAACATATATGTACCTGTGACATTAAAAGCTTTTTATGTTAAAAAAAATGGTTAAGATGGTAAATTTTATGTTATGTGTATTTTATCACAATTTTGTTTGAATTCAGGAGAAAACATGATAATACAAGTTCACACCAGGTTGCAAAAATTTTAAAGGCAAACAAAACAAGTTATTATAAGTGTGTTTCTCACACTGATGACAGGAGTATAAACTAATAACAATCTTTTTGGAAGGCAATTTGCCAACATGTAGGGGAGCTGAATTTAATACTTGGCAATTCCATTTCTAGGTAGATATTCTAAAGAAACTCTTGTACCCAAACAAGGGGAGATGCTCAAAATTGTTGACCGCAGTGCAGTTCACAATGGCAGCACAATACAAGCAACTCCTTGCAATCGATTAGGAACAGGCACATATCCCAGCTACCATTTAAAATAAATAAATTAGATCTTCACATTTAGACATGGGGTGGAAAAATCTCAAAAATATAATTTTAAAGAAAAAAGAAAAAGAAACTTGCAGAAAGAATGTATATTAAGGTACTCTTGGTGTAAATGTTCAAACCACACATTATTTTGAGATGTCTGAATATGCAACAAAAATATAAAAATATAGAAGCAGTCATGGTACATCTGTGTGTAACATTTTATTTATTATGTTAAATTAGAGTGGTGAGTACATGGGTATTTATTAGTATTACTATATATTTGCTGGGTATTTAAAATATTTTATTCAAACAATAACAAGAGGACTCAGAACATAAGTCTTCCAGGAATTTTCCTCTAAATTTAATCTAGAATGATTTCCAAGTAATGTGACAGTAGCAGCATTTTGAGTTATGTGCAGTGAGTTTAATGGTTTTCTAAAGTCATTTAAGTTTGTTGATTCATCGAAAGTAATCTCTGAAGGAAATTGTCTACAACATACTTTTTTAAGTACTCACCCAATAAACAGAGATAATTGGGTTCAGTCAATCTGGAGAGTTTTGTGACTTGATTCAAGATGTTGTACAGCTCTATTGGTTCACACAAAACCAAACCAGTCATCCTATTGGGAAGAATCAATAATGCATAGGTTTAGTACCTCTTTCTGTTTTAAATGAATGGTCACAAAGACACTGAATTAAACTCTTCACGCACTTTCAAACAAAGATGACAGTAATCATGAAAGTGATCGAGAAAGCTTCAGAATTTTGTAGTGAAATGTTTGCAGAAGAGAAAATATTGAACACAATATATCTGAACCACAACACCACCAAGGAGGCTATAAAATAGTCACCAATTCATTTCTTCTTTCAGCAAGTTACTACTGAGAACCTACTGTATGCCAGGCACTGGAAATAATTAGTAAACTACACCCACCTCATGAAGGCTACGGCTAGCATAGAATGCAGACATTGGACCAAAAATGCTTAAAGGTTGAAAAGCACTATAAAAGAGCCAACATCCAGTAGCTAACAGGAGGGCCTCAGAGAAGGGCTGCCTGAGATGTGAGGCTGAGATAAGCTGGGAGGCCAGGCAGGACTTGGTCAGGTAGAGGAGGGAGAGAGGGTAAGGAAGGTGAGCATATTCAGTACCTGAGAGAGGTCAGAGGAGCCTGGTGTGGCCACAGCAGGGGGAGAGTGACAAGACCCTGGGGAGGCCAACCCGAGTCCCCTTGTGAGAGGCCTTGTAGTCTTATGACAAGGACCATGATGGTCAGTGTTGGGAAGTGGTGCTGACTGCCCCACCAGCCTGGGCTCTGCCTCCTGAGTGCGGGCCAGCGCCTGATACATGCACTCCTGTGCACGATTGCCTCTGGTGCCCCAAGGACACTGAGGGGCAAGGGCTGGGTCTGTGTAGCAGCTTCCTGCAGGGAGGTGACCTTTTAGCAGGGGTGGGAACTACAAAGAGCTACCCAGCAGGCCTCTGGAGAACACAGGAAGGTGGAAAAGAAGTTGAATCCAGGGGTAATCTTGCCCAAAACAGTTGGGATTCATCCACTTCAGTGTTACGAGCACAACATTCCTGCGAAAGGCCAAACCTGGACACCAGCCCTGGATCCTTCTCACCTCCTCCAGCGTCATGAATGTCAGCCTCCAATGGATGGCTCCTACTGACATGCAAACATCCTTGCTCCTGACTGTTCCCAAGAGCAAGAATTCTCCCAGGGCTGGTGTTGACTCACTGTCTCTGCTTCCTCACCTCCAAACTCTGTAGGTCTGAAACTCCACTATCTACTTACTGTCCACTGCCCGACCTTGGGGAGTAATTAGCCTCTCTATACCTGTTTCCACCTGTAAAATAGGGGCAATAATGGTATTGCCACTTCTGTAAAATGAGGATAATGGTACATGCCTGTTTTGTGTAGAATAATGAAATTCCAAATGTACGGCATTCTGAGCAGAGAGGATATGCTGAGTAAGTGTTGGCTATTAGCACAACCTTCTCCCTTGGCACTTCTAACCCCATCCAACCAAAGAAACTGCTCTTGGCAAGGTCATCAACAATGTCCATGTTGCCTAAGCCATTAGTCACTACTCTCTGGGCTCAAACAATGGAGCATCTTAGCATTTAACCCTGCTGAGCACTCCTTCCAACTGTCCAGGCTTCCCTACAACCTCTCAGACAAGACCTGCTCCGGCTTCTTTGCGGAAAGCTCTACTCTTCATGTAGAATGCCTTGAGCACAGTCATCTCTTCTCCATCTACACTCTCACTCTAGGACAGGCCTTCTCAACCTCCATACCCATGACATTTGGGGCCATAGAATCCTTTGTTGGCAGGGGAGGGAGCTGCCCTGCACATGGTAAGGTGTTTAAACAGCATCTAGGAACAAACCTGCCTCCCACCCAGCTGTACCAACCAAAAATCTCTCCAGACATTGCCAAATATCCCCTAGAAGGAGGCAAAGTCACTGCTAGTTGAGAACCCCCACTACTCTCAGATCTAGAGTCTAGCACCTTCAATACCATTTGGAGACCAATGAGCCCCAAACTGTGGCCCTGCTTGACCTCTCTACTGAGCATCCAGACTCCACCTAGATGTCTGATGGGCATCTCAATTATAACATGGCCAAGATACAACTTTAATTCACACAGGCCCACACCAATACCTGTTTGGCTTTTTAGTCTTCCCAGTCTCGATACAGCACCTAAGTACTCAAGTCCACATCCCAAATCCCTCCTTCCCACAGCCCTGAACATGCAATCTATCAGCTCCACTACCTAAATATATTCCAAAGCCATCCACCTCTCCATCTCCAGGCTAATGCCCTAGCCCACTCACATCTCTCCTGATGATGCCGTACCGTGCAGCTAGACCTCTTGCTTGCTTTCTCCCTACAATCTCATCTCCACAGGCAGTTGGGGCCATCTTTTCAAAATATGAGTTTGTCTTCACTTCTCTTGCCATTATCTGCCATTATCATGCTCGTTTGTTTGCTTCACTGGCAATCTCCCTGCACTAGGATGTCTGGGTTGTAAGGACAGGGATCTTGTCCTTTCACTGCTGCATCCTTATCTGGTACTCAGGATATCTGCTGCAGAGTAGGGCTCAATAACCACATGCTGAACAATACATTGTCAGTCACTGTTCCTGCTTTCACCAATGGGAACCTGATGCCATACATACAGATGCCACATGGAGACACCTCCTAAAGACCTCCTCACTCCTCTCTCAGTTAGGTCCCAGGTCCTCTACCTCTGAAAGCCCTGTCCCCAGACCATTTTGGAGGTGGTGAGTATAGGGGAGATAGAATGGGCTTTGCATCTAGTCCCAGTTCATTAAGCCAACCTAGTAGCTGGCCCCTAACCATCTGGCCTGTGCCTCAGAGCCCATCTTCAAGCTCCCATTCACTTTCCCCCATTACAACCCCCACCTCTTTATTCACTGACTGTCTCTGGGCATCAGGGAAAAATCCAGTCCCAGGGATCAAGTCCTTCAGACTGCTCTCCTTCCCAAGGAGGGCACTCTCCCTGGTCAAACAACAGCTGCCCCTCACCTGCTGGTAAAAAGCAAGAAGGGAGGGCAGAGCCAAGATGGCAGCATGAGTAGGACAGTGGGAATCTCCTCCCCAAAACATATATATTTTTGGAAATACAACAAATACAACTATCCCTAAAAGAGAGACCAGAAGATACAGGACAACAGCCAGGCTACATCTACACCTGTGAGAACCCAGCGCCTCGCAAAGGGGGTAAGATACAAGCTGCGGACCAGCAGGACCCAAGTGCCCCTCACCCCAGCTCCTGGCAGGAGGAGAGGAGTTGGAGCTGCGAGGGAGAGGGAGCCCAGGACTGCTAAACACCCAGCCCTAGCCATCTGCACCAGAGTACAGACACATGGTGCGAGGAGTGCAGGAAACTAGCGAAATGGACAGTAAAACCTGCGAGCGGGTCCCTGCAGCCGACACCCCTGGGACAAAGAAAAGCGAGTGCTTTTTGAAAGTCTTAAAGGGACAGGGACCCCACAGCTGGATGGAAGCATCCTGGGACACTTAGCCCAGAAGCTGGGGATCCCGGGGAACTCCGGGCACCCTAACCCCCTGGGCTGCAGTGCAGCTCTGAGACCCCTCATGGCGATAACAGCCCCACGCCCATTCCCCCTCCAGAGCAGCCCCGCCATAGCAGAGCAGCAGCCTGAGGCTGGCCAAGCCCACAGCAAGGGAGCTTCCTCCATAGTGGCTGGGCAAGAAACAGAGACCCGCCAAAACAAGCTGCTAGGGGGTCGCCATTGTCCCAGGAAAGAAAAACCAAGAGCAAGTGGAAAGGGTCTTGGTTCTCCCAGCTGACAGACAAGCCAACAGCATACCACTGCATCTATCAACATGAAAAGGTAGAAAAATTTGATCCAGACCAGACTAACCCAGACATCCTCTACATCCTCCCCTGAGAAGGAATCTGGGAAGATAGATTTAACCAATTTTCCTAAAAAAGAATTCAAAATAAAAGTCATAACCATGATGATGGACTTGCAGAGAAATATGCAAGAGCTAAGGAGGGAGAATACAGAAATAAAACAATCTCTGGAAGGACTTCAAAGCAGAATGGAAGAGATGCAAGAGACCATTAATGGATTAGAAATCAGAGAACAGGAACGCAGAGAAGCTGATGCAGAGAGAGATAAAAGGATCTCCAGAAATGAAAGAATATTAAGAGAATGGTGTGACCAATCGAAACGGAACAATATTCACATTATAGGAGTACCAGAAGAGGAAGAGAGAGAAAAAGGGACAGCAAATGTCTTTGAAGAAATAATTGCTGAAAACTTCCCCAAACTGGGGGAGGAAATGGCCTCTCAGACCACGGAAGCACACAGAACTCCCATGACAAGGGACCCAAGGAGGGCAACACCAAGGCACATAATAATTAAAATGGCAAAGATCAAAGACAAGGACACAGTATTAAAGGCATCCAGAGAGAAAAAAAAGGTCACCTACAAAGGAAAACCATCAGGCTATCATCAGACTTCTCAACCTTACAGGCCAGAAGAGAATGGCATGATATATTTAAAGCAATGAAACAGAAGGGCCTTGAACCAAGGATACTGTATCCAGCACAATTATCATTTAAATATGAAGGAGGGATTAACCAATTCCCAGACAAGCAAAGTTGAGGGAATTTGCCTCCCACAAACCACCTCTACAGGGTATCTTAGAGGGACTGCTCTAGATGGGAGCACTCCTAAAAAGAGCACAGAACAAAAACACCCAACATATGAAGAATGGAGGAGAAGGAATAAGAAGGGAGAGAAATAAAGAATCATCAGACAGTGTTTATAATACCTCAATAAGCAAGTTAAGTTAGACACTAAGATAGTAAAGAAGCTAATCTTAAACCTTTGGTAACCACAAACTTAAAGCCTACAATGGCAATAAGTACATATCTTTCAATAATCACCCTAAATGTAAATGGACTGAATGCACCAATAAAAAGACACAGAGTAATAGAATGGATAAAAAAGCAAGACCCATCTATATGCTACCTCAAACCCAAAGACATGCACAGATTAAAAGTCAAGGGATGAAAAAAGATATTTCATGCAAACAACAGGGAGAAAAAAGCAGGTGTTGCAGTACTAGTATCAGACAAAATAGACTTCAAAACAAAGAAAGTAACAAGAGATAAAGAAGGACATTACATAATGATAACAGGCTCAGTCCAACAAGAGGATATAACCATTATAAATATATATGCACCCAATACAGGAGCACCAACATATGTGAAACAAATACTAACAGAATTAAAGGAGGAAACAGAATGCAGTGCATTCATTTTGGGAGACTTCAACACACAACTTACTCCAAAGGACAGATCTACCAGACAGAAAATAAGTAAGGACACAGAAGCACTGAACAACACACTAGAACAGATGGACCTAATAGACATCTATAGAACTCTATACCCAAAAGCAACAGGATGTACATTCTTCTCAAGTGCAAATGGAACATTCTCCTGAACAGACCACATACTAGGCCACAAAAAGAGCCTCAGAAAATTCCAAAAGACTGAAATTCTACCAACCAACTTTTCAGACCACAAAGGTATAAAACTAGAAATAAATTGTACAAAGAAAGCAAAAAGGCTCACAAACACATGGAGGCTTAACAACATGCTCCGAAATAATCAATGGATCAACGACCAAATTAAAATGGAGATCCAGCAATATATGGAAACAAATGACAACAACACTACCAAGCCCCAACTTCTGTGGGATGCAGCGAAAGCAGTCTTAAGAGCACAGTATATAGCAATTCAGGCATATTTAAAGAAGGAAGAACAATCCCAAATGAATAGTCTAATGTCACAATTATCGAAATTGGAAAAAGAAGAACAAATGAGTCCTAAGGTCAGCAGAAGGAGGGACATAATAAAGATCAGAGAATAAATAAATAAAATTGAGAAGAATAAAACAGTAGAAAAAATCAATGAATCCAAGAGCTGGTTCTTCGAGAGAATAAACAAAATAGATAAAGAAGATGTGGTACATATACACAATGGAATATTATTCAGCCATAAGAAAAAAACAAATCCTACCATTTGCAACATGGATGGAACTAGAGGGTATTATGCTCAGTGAAATAAGCCAGGCAGAGAAAGACAAATACCAAATGATTTCACTCATTTGTGTAGTATAACAAAGTAAAACTCAACGAACAAAAACAGCAGCAGACTCACAGACTCCAAGAAGGGACTAGTGGTTACCAAAGAGAAGGGACTGGGGAGGGTGGGCGAGGAGGGAGGGAGAAGATTAAGGGTCATAGGGAAGGCTATATAGCACAGAGAAAACAAGTAATAACTCTATAGCATCTTACTACACTCATAGACAGTAACTGCAATGGGGTGAGGACTTGACAATATTGGTGAATATTGAAACCACAGTGCTGTTCTTATGAAACCTTCATAAGATTGTACATCAATGATACCTTAATTTAAAAAATTAATAAACAAAAAAAAAGTTTTAAAATAAAGGTTGGAGGCTTGCCAGCTGCTAGCAAAGCAAGGAGAGGAAGCTGCACTTAAAACAGCCTGCACCCCCCAGAATTTGTTGAGGCAAAGGATGCAGAAGTGTTTCCTATAGACCAGATACAGGCCAGGCAGCACAGAAGCCATCTTAAAGGCACTTTGTCCAGGAGAACCACTTAGAGAAACAATGGAGAAATGGGAGAGACAGGTAGTGGGGGATCCCAGAAACCAGGGGCTGAGGGAGCAATTGACAGGAGCAAGACTGAGCTGCAACCACCTGGGTCAAGGGAACTGCAGGTAAAAGACCCACAGAAGCAGCACATGGAGCAGAGAGTCAGCTACAAACTTCTGTTGGGCTCAGAGAATAATAATGCCTTATAACAAGGGAATCTTTCCTGCCTGTCTCTACTCTTAACCCTCCCTCTGCCAACACGGATCAGTGTGTCGGAAGCCACAGTCTGCATGGGGAAGAGGGCAGGAGGAGTTAGTGAGGAAGCAAGATAGAGAAGTAAGAGAGGTCAACCACTCTCCAAAGGTGAGAACCTAAAGCAGCTCAAGAGCAGGAGGCAAGAAGCTTGAACAGTGAGTTAGGTTCACAGTTTTGACTATGTGAACCAGACATTTAGGCTATTGCAGCAAATCTGTCCTGGTTCCTAGATATTTCCATGTAGACAACTCATCATCACTTCCAATTCAGCCTGCCTAAAGTGGAGCTCTTTATTTTTTTCTCCAGCTAGCTCTCCTTCCACACCCCCAAAGTTCCCCACTTCTGTACATATATACTTCTGTCAGTCTGACTTTCCACATCCCTTTCATTCATTTCTTAAACCCAGGTGAGCACAAACTCATCAACTCTTCCCTTGAGACTGCTCCCTATTGGCCCCACCCTCTGTTCCTATGACTACCATCCTAACTTGTATCTTTATCATCTCAGGATAGTCTCCTAAACAATCTCCCTGCCCTCCACATTTTTGCCTTGCAATCCTTAGCCTGCCAAGGTCAGCCTAAGCTTCCTCGAACACAGGTCTGATGGTATCATAAAGGCCTTCAATGGACACTTGCCTCCCAAGGAGTAAAATACAAACTTCTCAGATAATATTCACAGGTCTTGAAGAATATGGTTTTTCCAACCTTATCTAAAACCATTCAACTCTCCCAAAATCCAGAGACCACTCTTGGCCTGGACAATAAAGACTCCAAGATGAAAGACACACCTGACCACAAGGTGCTCTCAGTTCCAGTGGTGAGACAGAGGGGTATATCACCCAAGGACACAATCAGGGTTAAGATAAAGGGCTACTCATCAAGTCCCCACTCCAACCGAAATTATCTATGCAATGTCCTCTCAGTATAGGCCTAGATTTCCCCACCTCCAGGTCTATCTTTGGGCTCATCTCCTTTCTCATCTGAACACTTTACATTATTAAAACCCATCTACTAATGCCCCTCAGAGAACTCCAATGCCCAACCAAGCAAGGGGCTCTCCCTCCTCTGGAGCCCCACTGAGTAACTTCTACTCTTCTTTTCTCGGTTTAGGCTATTTTCACCTCCAGAGGTTCTCTCTCGCACGGCCCCCATCTCACCTCAAATATGGAGGACATTTGATGCCCCACCTCCAGGTTCCCACAGCACATCCTAATTCTCCTAATGTTGCCGGTGTCATACTGCCTGCAATTTACCAGTCTCCGCGACTACACTCAGCTCCTTGAAGGCAAAAAATGTGTGGATCTTGTTCACAGCCGAATACCCAGCTCCAAGACTCGGCTGGCACATCTTAGTAGCTTAGTAAGTGGAAAGAAGGGAGGAAATTGTAAGCCAGTCACCATGCACCCCCTTGTCAATAGGTTCCTTGGCGTTCCTGCTTTTTTCACCCCTGCTTCCCAGCCACTGTTTCCAGGCAGGCTCAAGTCATTGGTCGCCCTACTGAGTTTGTACATTCCTTTATTAAGGCAACGAACTGTGACCCATACAAACTGCCCCACTTGACTCTGAACTTTTGAGGGCAACAAACTCTCATGGGGAAAAAAAATGAAGCTTAAAACTCCTTGTAAGCAGGAACCATATTTTTACTTTCTGCTTGGGTAAACACTAAACAAATCCACTTAACAGAGCTCAGCCAGTGTCTTTGTCCCTCAAGCAGAAACAACTTGGCTGTGCTCACACCTGAGAAGGGACTGAATGACTGCCAAGATCTCACCTCGATACCCGTTTCTCACCTGTAACACAGGTGTTTTCCTTGCTTTCCTGTAAACTCGTAGGGGCAGTGCCTAGCGCTGTCAGTGCTCAGTGTCGGCCACTCCGTTAGAGGTGTCTCTAAAGCTTTGTAAACTGTAAAGAAAGGTCCTGTGCACCTGGCGGGTGGGCGGTACGTATGTAGAACAAGGTGGGGGTGCACGCTAAAGATGATTAGAGGGCACCCCATCCTCCCGCCCCACCCCCAGGGACTCTAAACCTCCCCTTTCCCCTTTCCTTTCCAGGGTGTTTCAAAGCTCACAGCCCCCTCCTGCCGATTAGGTTTGGCTTAGGTCAGGGGCGGACCGCACCAGCTACACCAGACCCGCTGACGACCTTGGCCGGTCTCCCTGTCAGGGCCTGTCTGGAGCCCCACCTGGAATACGGCTCCTCTAAGGCTCTTCCAGCCTAAAGCCTGTCCTCTTCCACCTCTCGGGTGCCGACTCTCCCTCCCACTCCGACCGCGTCTCCCCCACCAGCCGCACAAAATTTGACGCGCGTTACGACCGAGCCCAGAACTGCGCTCCCACGGAGCATAACGTGCCCCTCCGTCTTTCTCCTGCACAGCCCGGAAGTGGCGTGTTACCGCGAGATCTGAGAGGTGGGGACGGAAGTTGGGCCGGAAGCGGAGCCCAGAGGCTCTGCGCAGCCTGGAGGTCGTTGGAGTCATCTGCCCTTTTTCAGCTCCTTTTCCTGCCTGTCTGCGCCTCCGCCGCCCCAGCCATGCTCTGCGCACTCGCCCGGCCTTTCGGCGCTGCTGTCCGCCGCAGCTTCAGCACCTCGGCCCAGGTAGGCCCGATGAGGGGCTGCCTGCAGGCGAGGCCCTCGGCCAGGGCCACGTGCATTTCTGGCTCGCTAGCAGCCTTGATCCCCGGGCCAGCTGTACCGCAGGGCCGCCCGGTACTGGCCAGCGGCTGTGGCGCCTTGGGCCGGCCCTGATACCGGCGGGAAATGCGGGAGGGAAAGCCCGGGAGAGGGGTAGGTGCCCCAGCTCCAGGGCCGGTGTGCTTCTCCGAGCTCCTCAGCTCGCCCCCAGGTCCCCCAGAGGGCCTGCTTTTCGCCGAGTGCAGGCCAAGGAGTGCCGTCAAGGTCAGGAAGCCAGGACTCTAGGGCCCAAAGTAATTTGTTTTTATGCAACTTTTCATAGTTGTTTGACTCATGTTATTCCTCCTGTAGCATCCGTGCAGATGATAGTGTGCCTACGGAGATAGTTTAGGTACGGAGGGTAGGAAACTGGTCCAAGGTTACACATGTAGTCAGAGCATTAAAATTTAGCTCTCAGCACCGCTGTCTGTGGCTTTTGGATCACCAAGTCTTCATTCTAAAAACCTGAAGATTCTGCTTACTCTTAAGGATCATTTTGACGGATCCTTCCTGCAGTGGGTGGATTGGGCCTGCCCCCAGGTGTTGTTATAACAGTGCAGGGCTTGGCCTGGGAGTACTTAGGCCTAAGCTATTTTTAGCCATCTTTTTTTGGGAAAGTGGTTCTCAAACTCTGTTGTGTGTCAAAATCACCAGAAACCTAATAAAGAACAGAGGCCCGGGCTTACTGAAGGAGGGCAGCACTTGGGTCTCTGTATTTACCAAGTGCCCCAAGTGGTTCTAATACAACCAAAGTTTGAGAACCTAGGAGATGCCCACATTGCTTCTTAAGCACCGCATGCAAAAGGAGGCGATCATTAAAGGAGATTCCTGATGCTCATTTAGCTTCTGCCCTGTGCATTCAGTCATTTGAAAAATATACCAATAAATACATTGAATATCCATTCTTGCCAAGAACTGTGCTGGATGCTACAGCTGATGCAAAGTGAGTGAAGTGGCAGGGGAGGTAGGCCCAAGTGAGTAAACTTAGGGCAGGTGGAGGTGATGAAGACATGCTGAAGGGTGGGAGAAGGGAACTGAGCAAACTAAACCCACGGGGGTTCACTGACATTGGATGACGGGTGTGAGAGAGAGGAGCTACAGGCTTTGGAGTTGCTGTTTGCTGAGATGGGAGAGGCTGCTGGAAAAGAGTGGGTTTGAGCCAGGGGAGGAAGAGCTCAGTTTGGGATATGCTGAGTTTAAAATGCCTGTTGGACACAAGTGGAGACATGGAGAAGGCAGTTGCGTAAGTCAGAAAGAAGAGTTTGCACCAAATGGTACATTGGTCTAGAGACTTTAGAGCCTCTATCCTTTCCAGGAAATGTAAGGAGCACACAGCCTCAAGGCATTTATTTCTACATAGATGTACTAATACATGTTATAACAAAGAATAGAGCTTTAATAAAAACAAACGGCAATAAACCCGCATTAAAAGCAAATTTGTTACTATGTATCCAATCCAATTTCGACTCAGGGCATTGTTAACAATTACTCCTCAAGGCAGAAAAGGTCAGCAAGTTCTGAGACATCTCTTGCCATGAGCTAACCTCGCAATGCCAGAGATTCTGACCTCAAGGTAGAGTTCTCACCACGTAAGGACTGTTTTATAAATGCTAACTAAGTTGATGAAATCTTGTTATAAACAATAACATCTCAGCACAAAGCAGAGTGAGGAGGTCATGCCGTCCTCCCCAGTCTTGTGTTCCCTTTACAGTATGGGACTAGCCCACCCAGGGACCCGAGTGAGGGCACCAGATGAGTCTGTTTCTTAGTAGAGTTTTATTCTTCAGATAAAAACACAAATTTTGACATTTTCATCCTCCACCCCGTTGGGATTGTCTTGTGCTCCCTGCAATGGAACTACTACCCTGGTCAGCCTTGGAAACCAGGCAGAGTAATCGGGACATGAGGAACTTGAGCTTTTTGAGCAAGGGAGTGAAACAACTCAAACTTTGAATTTTAGGAAGAAAGGATGGTTTGGAGGTGGAGCTGAGAACCTAAGTTGGACAGTGGAATTGGAATGGAAATTGGGCAGGCTAGGAAGAGGCTAGAGATGCCCAGTCCTCCATGGCCTAACTGGGTGTCTAATTAGGAAAGAGGCAGAAAATGGTTCTAAAGGTTTGAATTTGGGAGAACACAAGTTCTGTGTGGAACAGGGGTGGGAGAGGTAGGGAGGATTAAGTGATTTAGGCAGTTGGATTTGTGGGGCCATGGGAATGCCTAACAACTGGGAATGTGGAGTTGGAATTTGGAAGTCCCTAGGATTAGGGACAAGATGTAGGAGCAATCATTGCAGTTATTGGTTCTGGGTTGGTCTCCCTAGTTACGTTTTCTGGGAAGTCAAGGGTCTACCTTTAAACCAATTTTTAAAAAATGCAAATTTTAGTCATAGTATATGCTTTTAGAGTTTTAGCTTCCTTAGGCAGATGACCATTGGGTGTCTTTTGTTTTGGTTTGGTTTGGTCTTGGTTTGGTTTTGGCTTGGTTTTTGTTTTTGGCAGCCAGAGTCTGTTATTACCAGCATCATTGGCTGTAAAATACAACATGCAGTGACAGTGCAAGGATCCAGAGTGGACACATCCCTGGATGACCACACACAGTGCTCTGAGTTCTTGCATCTGCTACTTTCTCAGTTTGTCTCCTTCCCTGGCAGCTGCCAGCCTGGGAGGAATAGGCCCCTTCTCTTTTGTTAGTTTAGATTAGAAACAGCTCTCTGAGGTTGGCTGGAAGCTTTTAGGCAGTGAGTGGAATTTAGGGGGAAGGGTGCCCTTTGGATAATAGGAGTGAGCTTTAGGGCAGGGCTTAGAATAGCTCTAAGTCTATCTTTTTTGTTCTTTTTTCTTTTAAGCCCAAACTGCTATCTTTGTGAGCCTGGGCTTGTAATGACTGTGCTTCAGTTCCTCACCTGTAAAATGGGTCTGTTAATATCACTTACTAGAGCTGTGAGAATGAATTGAGGAAAGACTTTGCTCTGCCTGCTGCGGAGCAGAGCTGATAAATGTCCAGCTGTTAGCACTTTGTGTCCCCAGTCAATGAGGCTGCTGGGTGGCTTGAGTTTTCAGGCAGAGCATCATTATAGCAAGGTCTGTGCCTCACAGGACAGGGAGACCAAGAAGCAGTCATTAAATTAGTTGTTTCAAGTGGCTGGGGTGGACGTGGCCTTCAGTCCCATTTGGTCACCATCCTTCACAGACTCCCCTTCCTCAAATGGTGTCCACAGGGTTCTGTCCCTAGTGCTCTTCCCATTCGTGCCTCATCCATCACTTCTATTCATCCCAGTGCAGATGCTCATGACCTCCAGACCAAGCCTTCACCCTGCTTGGCTCTGGTGTGTGTCTGTCTGGTTGTTTCAAGTGGCTCAGACCCAACATGCAAAACAATTCATTATCCTTCCTGCTAAGCCCCTTACCTCCCGCCTCAGTTCCCGCTCTTGCTTAAAGGCAGTGTTGTCTACTCAGGCCAACAAGTTGTCATCCCGATTCCTCTCTGTTCGCCATTTGAATGGAAGAAGAAGGGAAGGGAGGCGACTTAAATCTGTTGGTACTATTCCTCAAATCACTCATTACCCGCCAGTCCCTCTTGCTGCTGCCGCCTTCATCCCACCCTTGGATCACGCCTGGGCTATTGCGGTCATCTCCCTCCATTCTGTGTATTTACAGTCCATCTTCCACTCTGCCTCATATCTTCATAAAACAGATCTGGTCATGTTCTTCCCAACTTTGGTGGCTTTTCAGTGGTTCCCCATTGCCCAGAGGGACCACATATGCTGTGCTGGACCCTCAGCTCTGGCCCTACCTTCTTCCTTCCTCATGTTAAACAACACTCAAGCTGTGGAGGACTGCCTCCCTCAGTCAGCTATATTCCATACATATCTCCTCCCCCAAGCATCCACCTGGTAAACTCCTGCTCATCCTTCAAAAGCCCCTGTAACAGAGCTTATTCTGTCGTTTTCTGCTGCTCTTCCGAGTGTCTCCCTCTGCAGCACTTGTCACACTAGATGCTGTTCAGTTTGTTTGGATTTTCAGTTTGTGGGGCTTGTCATGGGCGCTGGCAAGTCAGTCTGGCATGTGGCATGTAGGAAGTTGGAGCCTGTTGAATTGTAGTTGAGCCTTAAAGGATGACTAGGCAACCGCTTTGGAGAGCATCCTCACAGTTCTCAAAAGGTTAAACATGGAGTTGCCACATGATCCATAAATTCCACTCCTCGGCATGTATCCAAGAGAATTAAAAAACATAGCCACATAAAAACTTGTGTATGAATATTCATAACAGCACTACTTAAAACAGCCAAAAGGTGGCCACAACCCAAGTGTCCATCAGCTGATGAATGATAAACAAAATGTGGCCTCTCTGTACAATGGAATGTTGTTCAGCCGTAAAAAGGAATGGAGAATGCAGGCATGCTCCAACATGGATGAACCTTGGAAACATGATGCTAAGTGAAAGAAGCCAACACAAAAGGCCACATACTGTATGCTTCTATTTATATGTGAAAACTCCCAAATAAGCAAACGCAAGTCCATAGAGATGGAAAGTAAACCATAGAAATGGAAAGTAGATCGGTGGTTGCCAGGGTAGGGAAATGGGGCTGAATGCTAATGGGTTTGGGGTGATAGTTGAACAGCTCTGTCAGTATACTAAACATCATTGGATTGTAAATTTTAAGAGAATGAAGAGTGAATTGCACTATGGAAATCATGTATGGAAAATACATCTCAAGGAAGCCGTTTTTTAAAAAGTGACTGGAATTAGGTGATACCAGTGAGATATACTTACCTCTGAAGTGGCTGGTGAAAGCCACGTCTTTTGACTTAAGTTCCAGTAAGTTGACTGATAAACTGATACAAATTCTTAAGAGCTCTGGCCTTTTAGATGTCAGTGAAACGGTGTAGTCTCCTTGGACCCTGCACTCCAGGGGGCCAGTGACTTCACTAAGCTATACCCCTTTATTAACTGTTCCAGCCTACACGCCCATAGCTACCTGCTACTTGTTGTTCTTAGCTTGGTGGGGAGCAGTGATTCTCACAATTGGGTCAGTGTCAAATCACCTGGGTAATTTGGTAAGAATACACAAGCCTAAGCCCCATCCTCCTTCCAGGCCCCTGGCCTCTGTAGTCCCGTTAGCTCAGCAGCTGATTCTGGTAGATGCCATTGGGGGGCATAGGCACTCGTGGCTGCAGCTCTGACCTACCTGAAAGGGAAGGAGCCTTTTCAAGATACACATCCCTCCTGATCCTGCCCGAGGCTCCAGCCATGACTGTGCAGCTGATGGAATCCTCCGATTGCCCACCCCCTATGCACCCCATCTTGCACACAACACTTGTGTTAGAGCTCTTCACTCCTCCAGGGCAAGCAGGGGTCTTTTTCGTTCCTGCAGCTCCAAGTACAATGACTGGCATGTTGGTAGGTGCTCAGTGTTTGTTTACAGGCTAAAGGTAAGACTGCTGTTGCCAGCCCAGCTGCCTGAGTGAGTCAAGTTTGTCATCTGTCGGAGTGTCTGGAGTACAGACCCCAGATCCCCATTTTCCTACAGCCAGCCTCTGAACTTCAAAGGAAACTGGACCTTTGAACTGGTAGAAACACGATTGTGTCATCCTTGGGCACTGCTGCAGTAGAAGAGGCCCAGTGCACTGTTCTGCAGGACACTGTGTGAATCTTTTCAGTGCTGATTCCCACTTAAGAGTCCTTCCTCTGTGCCTCTTTTTAGAGCAATGCTAAAGTAGCTGTGCTGGGGGCTTCTGGAGGAATCGGGCAGCCCCTCTCACTTCTCTTGAAGAACAGCCCCTTGGTAAGCCGCCTGACTCTCTACGATATTGCTCACACTCCCGGAGTGGCGGCGGACCTGAGCCACATCGAGACCCGAGCAACTGTAAAAGGTACTGGGCACACTGACCCTAGAGAGTCGGCTTCTCTCCTCCCCAGTGGACCTGATACAAGCTGTAGGGTACGATTCTTAGATGAAACTGAATGTTCAGAGACCCGGAGTTTCCACATTCATTTTAGAATTAAATTTTACAAATGATTAGGTCTTCTTAGACTTTAGCCTATAAAAATTTCTATAGTGTCTTTCAGAAAAACAAAGGTGGTCTAATATTCCCATTTTTAATTCTCCCCAGTTTAAAAAGTAGTAGGAAGATGGGGAAAGGTTGCTGTTGGGTTCCTCCAGCTGGGGGGGGGGGGTGTAGTCGGAATGCTGTTCCCCCGTGTGCTGTGGCCACCCTCCCGGCCAGGGACCAGCCTCCACCCCAGCGGCACTGTGGCCAGCTTCTCCAAAGCACAGCCTTCTCTTCTTAGGAAGATCTGTCTTTCCTATTAAGTAAATACAGATACATCATCCAAGAAATAATTCAGAGTTACTGTCTAATTGTATATCCTGCTTATGTTACCTTCACAGTATAGCAACATTTCTCCATGTTACCAGGTTCTTAGTCAAATCATTTTTAAAGTTGTACTATGATTTGTCTTTGATTCAGTGTTATATCAATGCTGTTGACCATCAGCTATTTTCCTGTTTTGCTCTACTATAAATATATAAGCTGTGATAAACACCTTCATCTTGACATCTTGTTTCTCAGAGTCCTAAAAGTAGAACTAGTGTGGCTGTTCTAAAGCTTTTACTGTAAAGTACCAAATTGCCGTCCAGAAAGGCCGTACTAATGTCCGTCTCTACCGACAGTGTGTGAGAACGCCCCCTCTGGTGGTATTTACACGTCTTCAGGTGGCGTGACCCACTCAGGAGGACTGTGCCTCCGTGATCCCTCTGATCGCTCGTATTCTTTTGGGCTGTGTGTGTGAGTTCCGGAAAGCTTCTGCAGCAAGGAAAAAGGTAGCAAAGTCAAAGCAGATTTTGGTCATTGGAGCAAATTTCCCTGAAGTCTTTGAAAATAGACCTTTTTTCCCTTGGAAGATAAGAGTAAACAAAATAGATACTAGTATTTAGAGTCCTGGTTTATCAGCAGAGGAGTTTTCTTTCATGGCCTTCAGCCTGCCTTCTGATCTGACCCTGAGATGAGCTTTGGTTGATATGATCATGGAGTGGGAGGAGCAGCTCTTTGGACAGGGAGCTGAAGCAGATCAAAGAGGAGCTTACTTGGTTTGGTTTTGTGGAAACTGGAGGCTTCGTCCCTGAAGCAGGGGCCAGGGCAGGTGGAGGCTGGAGGGGAACATTCCTGCAAGCTGAAATTGTCAGATTTCCAGTAGTCAAGAGAAGGAATCTCTTCAAACGTGGGCCTTGCAGCCTCTCTGGGAGCCTCGTGGTTGGCACTGGACCCCAGGCTCCAGGGGTGGGGTAGGGGAGCATCCTTCCCAGGTAGTGTCCCCACAGAGGTGCCAGCCACTCTGGAACAAAAAGGTGAAGGAGCCATCATGGGGGCTTTCTTCTAGGCTACCTTGGGCCTGAGCAGCTGCCAGACTGCCTGAAGGGTTGTGATGTGGTGGTTATCCCAGCGGGAGTCCCGCGAAAACCAGGTATGTGTCTGAAAGCCTTGCCTAGCATCTTCTGCAACACAGGTGAGGAAGTCACTCTCTATTCAAAATGCATCTAGCCATTGTCTCTACTTCAGAAAAATTCCAAAGGCTCCCCACTGGCTGTGGATAAAGATCAAATGCCTTTCTTGGCGCAGCATTTATCACCCTCCTCGAGTCTGTAGGGTTTCTCCACAGCCCAGCCTCTTGTGCTTCTGTGCACACATTTTGTGCATGGACCTCCCCTCCACCGTGGATCCTGGATGCTGCTCCGCTGCTCCGCTGCTCCTCAGACAACACCCTCCCTGTTCTCCTCCCCATGCTCCACCCCCACAAACCCCTTGGGCACTTATCACACTGGATTGTTTTCCCCAAGAGATAGACTTACTCGGGACAGGACCGTGTCCCACTAATGTTTGAATTACCTGTAACATCCATATAGGCACTTGGTAGGTATTTGGAAACTTGGTATGTTTTGTGAAAATCTTGAGTTTTATTGTTCGCAGGCATGACACGGGATGACCTATTCAACACCAACGCCACAATTGTGGCCACCCTGGCTAGTGCCTGTGCCCAGCACTGTCCTGAGGCCAATATTTGCATCATTGCAAATCCGGTGAGTGCTACTGGGTCCTGTGCTGAAGACTCACAGTAGCTGTACGGTAGTATGCGTGTAGGGAAGATAAGCAGATTAATGTGCTCAACTGGATAAATTGGATGAACTAAGCATGTGTTTTAACCTGGTTTTCCCACCAACTGTGTGCTTTCATTCAGGCAGATCACTTCCCCTCTCTATATCCTGGTTTCTCCCCCTAGAAAGTAAGTCCATTTTTAAGGCTCCTTTCAGCAGTGATGGCGTTAGCCTGTTAACTCCTCCTCTGCTCTGCTTAGGGTTTGCAGTTCCTGGTTCCCTGTCACACATCATCTCATGCACAGCCTCCTGGGCTCTGCTCTCTGGTTTTTGCAAGGAATTTATTCTTTATTTCCAAAACTGAATGCTGAACAACCACACACACACATGCACACACACCCCGAGAGGTCAGCTGTGCCCTCCGTTCCTGCCCTTTGCAGGGCCTTGAGCTGTGTCTACCAGCAGCCCTCTCCATGCCTCACTCCTGGTTGACTGGGTTCTAGTCCTGTGTGTGACAAGGATCTGGGTGAAAGTGCGTGACAGCAATGTTGACCAAGGGACATGGCCACTGATAAACACCCAGAGGTTGTGTCCCTGGCCTCTGAGAGCAGGATCCCACTTCATCTGGGCAACTTGTCAGAAGTAGAAAGCAACCACTTCTGTTGATGACTCACTTTGGCCTCATATAAATCCTGCTGTCTTGTTTTGTTTTTATTGTATTCTTTCTAGATACCAGGTACTGTGCCGAACACTTGCCATATATTAAGTTATTAAATCATCACAACCTCATGAGTAGTTGTGTCCCTCATGTTACAGATAAAACCCAAGTCCTAGGAAGTTGAGGTAACTTGCTCAGGATTACCATGCAGAGTGACAGAGCTGGGGCTTGACCCTAGGCCAGCTGAGCTTTTTCCCCATGCTGTCTGTTCATCAGGAAGGTACACTGAGGTGTAAGCTCCAGCTGGAGCAAAAGGTGCCTTGTGGAGCCCTCATCACATTTTAAAATTGATAGTTGGGGGGTCACATGCATTTTTGACCTGTGGGCTCAGAGACCTGTCACCCATGGGGAAGGGTGCCTGCTGCAATGAAGGGTTTGTTTGTTGCCATGGAGGGTGACAGGGGCGTTCTCTCAGAGTGGGAAGTCTGCCCACTGTGACCTTTCCATCATGAAGATGGCTTTGCCTATAAACACAGCTACCAGGCCTGTTTAATCTGGCCTTTCAGAACTTGTTAATAGTTTGGCAAAAAGATTTTTCCCTTTGTTGCCTGTCTCTGCTCTCAGACTACAGGGCAAATAATGCTCTCTGGGTTTATTACTAGGTTAACTCCACCATCCCAATCACAGCAGAAATTTTCAAGAAACATGGAGTATACAACCCTAACAAAATCTTCGGGGTGACGACACTGGACATCGTCAGAGCCAACAGTTTCGTTGCAGAACTGAAGGTAAGAGCTGCAGTGCCAGATGAGCGTCCTGCTCCTTCAGCCAGGTCCTGCTGGGTCTCCCTTCCTGGGCAAGGCTGGTGCCAAGCCTGCGACTGCTCACCTCCCATAACTCCTACCAGATCCTTCTGTTTGTCTGGTTCACAGACTCTTGGAGGCATTGTGCCTCCAGCTTAACAAAGGAGTCAGCCTTTCCCAGCAAGAGACCTGAGAAGGAACCTTGGTGTTTTGACCCCTTACAACTCAGTTTTGTTCTATCCTGTTTACTGTTTGAGTTGACAGACTTCTCACCCCTATGTTTCCTAGAATCATCTTGAATTTTGCTGTAAAATAAGGAAAAGAGCATTTGACTCACTATCTGTGGTGGTGTGGGGACATCTTGTACATGAGCTGTGGGGGAGAGGCCAGTCATCCTCAGCTTCTGAGGAGATAACAGAGTGATGGGGGCCAGCTTTGGGAGGAGCCCTACAAGGAGGCAGTTTGCTGCTCATTGTACAGAGGGAACCTCGTAGTGACTCGCCAGATGAGTGTCTCTTCACCGCATGTGGTGGGGCCGTGGTAGGAGAGCAAAGCACAGCTGGAGTCGGAGTCTCTTCTGGTTTCCTTACTTTGTCCTGAGTTCTGCGGGTTTTTCTAGTATTGGTGCTGGTGGGGATATGGCTCGTTTTATACTCAAATACTTGTCATAAATGCATCACACTTCCACTTTGGTGACCAGGGTTTGGATCCAGCTCGAGTCAATGTTCCAGTCATTGGCGGCCATGCTGGAAAGACCATCATCCCCCTGATCTCTCAGGTATGTTACCTTGCTGGGAAGTCTGAGGGTCGTGAGCACTTCAGGAGGCTCCCTGGGAGGAACTGGAGACACTGATGAAGATTCAACCGTCTGCTGTATTTTGAAAGGATTCCTGTGGGGCTGCAGTTAGGGCTCCTCACTGTGGGAGTGAGTGAGGTCAGGAGGGGCTCTGAGGGCCCGACTCCAGTGCAGTGAAAACTCGTGGGAGAAACATCTCTGCTTCCTGGTCAGGTCAGAGCAGGCAAAGCTGCTTTGTTTAAAAATTAGTAGAAACAAGGTGAATTAACCCCATGGCCCCTGAGTGTGATACACTGAGAACAAAGTATTTGTGGTGGTCTTGCCAGAAATATATAACCGTACAAAAAGTATCTTACAAGTCCAAATTGATGGACACTGTACAAAGCAACTGCCCAGTACTCTTGACCAGTGTCGGGAAAGACAGGGGCCGATGGAGGGACTGTGAGAGAGCAGACTGCAGCCTAGTGACTGGTGGGAAGGTGGCCCTGCGTGGGAACCTGGGACGGAAGAGGGACAGCTAGGAAAGTTGAGGAAATTTGAATATGGGCTGTATGCTGGCTAACATGGACCAGTTGTAATTACCTGTTCTTCATAATTGCACTGTGGTTATCAGATGTTAAGAGCAGAGTAAGCCGGGAGAGGGAAATCTGGGCGCCAATTTTTACAGCTTTTCTCTTAAGTGTAAAATGAGTCCAAAATGTAAAGTTATTTTAAATTGAGCAGGCAACTGTCTACACCTCCCAACAAGGTAGACTTTTTCTTTAAAGAAAAGGTGTTGGTTTCCCAGGTCTCAGCAATGGGAGGGAGCTGCCGTGAGTGGAGGGAGGGGCTTGCCGGGCGCCCAGACCTGCTCACGTGGCCTCTGTGGCTTTGGCTTGCAGTGTACCCCCAAGGTGGACTTTCCCCAGGACCAGCTGACAACCCTCACTGGGCGGATCCAGGAGGCCGGCACTGAGGTGGTGAAGGCAAAAGCGGGAACTGGTAGGTTGTGGGAGGCAGCCGCTGTGGGTGCTGATGTCTGAGGCCCTGTTGGTGCTGTCGACTGCCAGGGGCCTGAGCAAGGAGGAAAGCCTCTTCTAAGATTCACGTATGTTCACTTGAAAGAAAGCCACGGCAGCTCGGCTTCCTGAAGTGGACCAGTGTTTGAGGCCACAAAGCTAACCCTACCATTCATGAGTTTGTAAAATTAAAAGATGCTGACCTAAATTCTCTGACTAAAAGCTGGAGGCTTTGCTGATCCTTCCGCTGGCGGGGCAGCCTCGCCTGGATTTTATGGTAGCTGCGCCAGCTCGACTAACCCACGCATGTCCCCTTAGGCTCCGCCACGCTGTCCATGGCGTATGCTGGGGCCCGGTTTGTCTTCTCCCTGGTGGATGCGATGAATGGCAAGGAAGGAGTTGTCGAGTGTTCCTTTGTTAAGTCCCAAGAGACGGACTGTCACTATTTCTCCACACCGCTGCTGCTGGGGGTATGTATCCTGGGGCCTGGGCCTTCGGGCAAGGAGAGTTCTCTGTGCTAAAGACAGGGACACTCTGCGTGGTCCAGTCACTCCGTAGTTGCAGTTTCCTACATCCCACCACCTGCATGTGCTTGGGGTTTTGAGGGTGGAAGCACACCACAGAATTGAGAGCAGGGAGAAGCCTCACCCTGGGGCTGGAACCTCCTGGCATGTAAACCTCCTCTCCTGTGGGTCTGACAGCTGGTGTGTTTCCTGATAAGACCTTTGTTCCATCTCAAGGCAGCCCGGGACAGTCTGGAAAGAGGCCTCCCTCCCCCAGCGTGCAGGCCATCTCGCTGTAGCTCATAACTCACTCATTCCTGTTCTGACCTTGGGGGCCACCAGGCCTGATTCCTGTCCCAGTGAGGCCTGAAGATGTGGCACAGCTGTTGTATTTTCCAGTCAGCTGTGGCTGATACCTTGCTCCTTGCCCCACTGGTTTTCCTTGGGCTGTGCTACAGTTTGTCCCCTTAACACTGTCGTGTCCAGGTCAGAGCTCAGCTGATCATACTACTGGCTGCACCAGGCAGCTGGTCAGGTGTCCGGTCCAGTGGACTCTGACCCAGTCTGCAGTGAACAGAAACCCATAGGTCTCACTCACTCCAGGTTTCCATGTCTTATGTCGTGGCAGCTGCTGAAATCAGGCAGGTGTGAGGTTGCTTCGTTTCATAGAAACAGTTTAGCAACATGCCAAGAGGCCCTTCCCACGTACACCTTGATGTTCAAAGATCCCTAAGACATGGCCTCAGGCTCTGTGGTGGAAAGATGGACACTGAACTGGTTAATTCAGTAACCAGTTCAGCCCAGGTGTGTGCAGAGTGTGGTGAGACCTATAAGCTGTAGAGTCAGGGAGGGCTTTCTGAGGAGGCAGCTGGGAGTGGAGGCTGCTGTGGGGTGAGATGGTGACAAACACTTAATTCCCCTCATGTCAGACATTGACCTCCTTTATTACAGTGGACTCAGGTGGATGGCAAAATGTTTCTTCAGTCCTTTACCAACTGGGGAAAGAGCCTAGAACCCAGAGGTGTGCACTGCATCAGGGTGACATCAGGTGCTACTAAGTGCTTTCTATGCCCGGTCGCCACGGGTGTTCTCACAGGCTCCCTGAGTAGATAGCACACTCCTGTTACAGGTTAGGAAACAAACTTGGTGTGTAAGCAGTTGCCCAGGGGATGTGCAGTGAGTGACAGAGTCCAGATCCCAATCTGGGACTATGTGGGGCCTGAGCTGGCAGAGCACCCCCCATCCTGGGTATTCACGGGTCCCTCCGCAGGCTGCCCAGAAGCCACAGGTGTAGCCTAAGCAGAATTGATGCAATTACAAGTTGGATTTTCCCATAACGCTCATTCATGGAAACTTATTGTGAAATTAAAGATTTTTAAAATTTATTTGTGTAATTACTTTTAATTGTAAAATTGTACCTCCTCCCCTCTTGCAGAAACAGGGCATCGAGAAGAATCTAGGCATTGGCACACTCTCCTCTTTTGAAGAGAAGATGATAGCCGAGGCCATTCCTGAACTGAAAGCCTCAATCAAAAAAGGAGAAGACTTTGTAAAAAACATGAAATAAGGAAGCAGTTAGTGAGCAGTCCAGTTGTAACTTATTAAGGCATCATGTCGCTGTAAAGCCATTTCAGGTCCCTTTGTATTTTAATTTGCTTTGATGATGAGTATTGTATGAACGATACCATCCCTTCCAAAATCTCGGATCAGTCTGTTCGTACATCAATAAAAGCAGGCTTTGAGTTTCTTTTTCAAGGTCTCCAGAAATGTTGCACTTTCTTCCCCATTAGCGCTGACTTGTCAGTGTCTGGCATCTCTCCATCACGAATCAGAGCTAGATGTTATTTAAATAATAGACTGGAAGTGTGATGGTTTCATCGGTAATTTCAGGAAAGTCTGCAATATTTATCACTGACTTTCTCCCAGACCGCCTCCATACTGCTGCATTCCTCCGGCATGTGAGCAGGAGGATCAGCTCAGGCCTGATCCTCACACTGTCCCTTTCACCCACACGGGGTCAGAGCTCCTGACTCTCTCTGTGGGGTCTTCCATCAAAGGGAACATTATCTTCTACATAGAGCCGCCATGGCTGATCTCTGTTCCACTGAATACTGCCCCCTTCTGACCAAGCCGTGATTAAGTGACAGTGACAACACATAGCCAGTGTTGTGAGGAAAGCTGGGGCAGGGCCAGTAATAACCCCCATGCCAGCCGCCATGGCAGGGCTAAGGATACAGGAAGGTGACTTCATGTCCACTGGTGGCCTGAAAAGGGACTTGGCTGCACTAGCCTGACTCAGGAAAACTAGGCAGTTCAGGGGAGATGGGATTCCCTTTAGGATGGGTGCCATCTGCTCAGAAGCCACGGCCCTGAAGTCGAAATGGCGCTCCACACCTGAGAAGGAGCTTTGCGGCAGCAGGTGATGCCCTTCTGCTGAGGGGTGAGAGGGCAGTGGGGGTGAGCCGACGCCCAGTGACAGACACATTTATCTACCACAGCTTTTCTTAACTAAAACTGATAATGGATTTTATCATTATGATACTGTTTTCTTACATAAGTAATACACATTCATTGTATAAAACCTAAAAAGTGGCCAAAATATAAAGCAGGAAAGAATCACTGGTAGTGGTATTTGTCCTGGTAATTTTGCATATTTCATAACACCTCCCTCCCCCAATGTAGGTGTATTTAAGCCATTTTCTTAGGATTCTGCAGTTGACGAGGCTCCACAGGTGGTTCTGCTCCTCTAGGTGTGGGATCAGCCAGTCTGGCACATCCAAGATGACAGCTCACACCTGTGCTGGTGTTTGGGGGATGCAGGGCTAGCTGGGCATCTCTCCCATGGGGTCTCAAAACGGCAAAAGTGGGAGCTGCCAGGCTAAGGCTCTGGCTCATAACTGGCGTGGCATCGCTCCTGCCACAGCCTTACAGTTAAAGCATATCACAAAATGCCAGGTGCATGGTGGGAGGGGACTGACCACAAGGGCATGAGTTCTAGGCAGACCTGGTTCTTTAGGGGCCAACTCTGGCGATTTCCCTTACCACTTACGTAATGCTGGATAACCATCAGGGTGAACATGCTCTAATTTATCCTGGTTATTGGATAATTTTGGTTTAAATTTCCACTACTACAAAGAACATGGCTCTGAACTTTGTGCTTTTGGATTAATTCCCCCTTGGAGTTCCATGCACAAAGCACACACTAGCCCTATTTGGGGTTATTTGTTATTTCATGGGATCCTGGCAGCAAGCGTGACAGGTAGGACCTAGCACAGATGACTCGGCAGACTGTCGCTAGCACCCAGCTCCATGCACCAAGGCAACCACAAAAGGACCTCCAGAAGAGAATGCTTAGGATGCAGGCTCCTGGCCCCATCCCTCCGAAATGTCGATCTAACATCTGAGAGGGAGGGCAGATATAAAATATTCCAGATTCTTCCAGATTATGCTGAATGGGGGAAGGGGTGCCCACCATACTTTGGACCTTGGCTACCCCAGAACTCTTGACTGTAATGAGCGTTTCAGGGGTTAAGGATAAGTCAGGTACCTGAGAATTAGAAAAAAGGAGATTAAAGTACCTCAGGACTCAAGGGAACAAGGTTACTTCTGAATGTCTCAGCAGAAGCAAGGATTAAAGAAGACTGCCCCATGAAGATGCCAGGAGGGAAGAGGAGACGGTATCTGAGATGGCCCTGCTGGCTGAGGAGGAGTCCAGCAGACCCGGGGGGAGGCTGGCTGGCTGGCAGCAGCAGGAAGGGGCTGGGCGTAAGAATGGGCCCAGGATGTGTCTTAGGAATGGCATGGGGTACCTGATGAGCAGAGCAGGGCTGCTCTGGGGTGGGTCTTGAGTGCCAGGCTAAGAGCTTGGACCTCATTCTGTGGGAAGTGGACACAGGAAGAGTGTCCAAGATGCTGAGCAGTATGGTAACACAGTCCTGCAATGGGGCTGTCAGATTGTGACAGGATGGGGCCTGGGTGACGTCCTTGTTGCAGGCCGCCCTTTAAGTAGGAAAGATGTGCTGGCAGGGGCCACCCAAGACACTCAGGAGCAGAAGGGCTGAGGGCCCAAAATGGGGTGGCAGTGAGTGGGAGCCAAGGGCGACGGATGGAGAGGAAACCACATCTGCCAGCCCACTTCGCCCACCCAGGAGTCCATCAGCCTATTATCAGCCAGGGTTAGACCAGCTGTGCCCCGCTTTGAAGCTCCAATTACATGCCTCCCACTCTGCCGACTGGCTGCCATCCCTGACTTCTGACTGCCTCCTGACACACGAGGAACAAAAACCCAGAGATTGAGTGTGTGGTGCTAATGAGGATAATGAGCTGGCTGAGGCCTTTGGTGGGGGAAGCCAGGAACCAGTCTTTAGCAAGCAGAGAGAAGCCAGGTGCAGAAGCGGCACACAACAAGGGTAATGAGCCAGTGAGAAAATTTGTCCTGTGGAAAGCTGCCTTGTAAGTCCCGAGCAGACACAGATGAGGAGGAAAAAGGAGTATCGTGTCCTCTCTGCTTTGGAAAGGGGCGTGAACAGCTCAGACTAGAATGGCCCTGACCTCCCACAAGAGCTTGCCCGCAGACCATCCCCCTCTGCAGTTTCCCCAAATGGCCAGGAGAGGGAGGTAGAGGCTGCAAAGCAGCTTCTAGAGGTGGCGGGTTGGGGTGGAGTGAGGAGGATGAGCCTGCAGGAGCCAATGGTGCTCTCTGCCCTGCCTGGTCTCTGCTGGCTCCCCAAACAGAAGGGGTAGTGCCTTCTGGCAGGGATAATGGGGATGGGAGTGAGTCCAGGGAGATCTGTGGAGACAGGCCTAGGGAACAGGAGGTGGCTGAAAAGGGGGGTCTTGGGGGAAAACAGCCCCCTCCCCATTAGCCTTGCCCCAGAGACTTAAGTCCTAGCCCCACAAGAGGAGTTGGCAGAGCAGCATAGAGATTATCTTCCCACTTCCCTTAACCAGGTAACCTTGGACTCCTATCCCCAGGGCCCTGTGTGGACAGCAAGGATAGGCCACTCCTTCCAGCACCCCGAGGGGGTGCGGGTTAATTAATCCAAACCCAGGGTGGACAGAAGCTGCTGGGCAGCAGGGCCTTTCCCCAGGGCCTGTGGGCATCCACAGCAGTGGCTCCATTAGGCTGTGCACCAGGGACAGGGGTGGGCCTGGTGCCAGCCTCTGGGTTCCTGAGGAGCCTTTCCAGACATCTCCAGTTTCTGATCCCCTCAGGCTGAGATGGATCTCCTCAATTAACCCAGTTTAAGAGGCCGCCCACATCCGCCTGCCGCCTGCCATCCTGGGCCTGTGCGCTCACTCCTAAAAACAGCTGGAGCTGACCAACCAGAAATGTGTTCTTCTTTCCTCTTTATTTTCTTCTAGATACTTAATTCCCTCATCAAGTCGAATAGGGTTACCAGAGCCAGAAGCAGGGCCAGGCAGGGTGCTCTTCAGCTGGCTTGCACTGGTACAGCTGATACAGTTGTAAAAGAAATACCTGAACTGGCTAATGAGCAGCTGCTGCCCACCCCTGGTGGCCCCGGACCTCCCTGTAGTAAAGGGCTAATGCCTGGCAGTGTGGCCTCTCCCAAGCTGGTCAGCCAGCGCCAAAGCACTTCTGGTGGTTAAATAATTTAATACCACTGCGGAATGGGGCCCCTTCTGCAGAGGAACTGAAGAGGAACATGGAGAGCAAGCTCCCCGCTCCCAGCACAGCACCCCTGTTGCTGACCCGCCCACCAAGCTGTGCTGAATTCAACCAGAGGGGTGGGTCCAGATGCTGGGCTTTGGAGTGGTTTCCTAGCAGTTTCGCAGACCCCATCTCCCTCTCCAAGGCCAAATCTAATAAAATAAGCACTGATCAAACATGAAATCTCTCCACAACCTATTAAATGAAAACGAATGTGTATTTCCATGTAGGATAAAACAGAACTCCCCAAGACTATTTGTATTTGAACGTAAATGCATAGAAAAAGATCCTGAAGGAAAACGTGCCAGGCAGCAGTGTTAACTTCTAGAATGGGGACAGCCGTTGCCTTTGGAGTGTGTGCTGTGCATAGGGTGCTCTAAGCTTCTTGCACTATGTACTCTGTGTAATGAGTTGAACTGTGTCCCTAATAATTCCTGTGTTGAAGTCCTAACCCACAGTGCCTCAGAATGTGACTATTTAGAAATAGAATCATTGCAGGCATAATTAGTTCAGACGAGATCATACTGGAGTAGGGTGGCCTTCTAATCCAAAATGACTAGTGTCCTTATGAAAAGAGGAAATTTGAACACAGACATATGCAGGGAGAATGCCGTGTGACCACAAAGGCAGGAATGGGGTGATGTATTAATGAGCGTAAGGTACAGCAAAGATGGCCAGCAAACCAGCAGAAGCTGGGAGAGCTGTGGGACAGTC